AAGGGATGTTTTGTGGAAAAAAACTTAATTCCACTGTCCAATAAAATTCGAATAAGAGTGAAGTTTCTTCCAATTTTAGAGGGAAGAAACAATAACATTTACTTTAAAGAATAATATCACGAAAGGTTTTTATTAATTTGAAATCAATGCTGTTCCCTAGCATAACAACATGCTGAATTAATTTTCAGTAAATGCTCAAAGCTTCTAAATGGATTTCAGAACATTGGGCTAATTAACGTCTTTCTTTCTAATGAGCGGCCGCTAAAACTGAAAAAATCCTCACTAATTTTTATAAAACAAATGTCTCTATTCAGTTATCGTTTTTATTGTATACCTCACCATGTACCATACATGTGCTAGTTGAGGATACAATAATTGACCTGAGGGTTTTTCAAAACAAACATTCTCCTGTCTGTTTCGTTTTCGGTTGTCCACTCTGTATGTATACCACATGTATATCCAACATGCACACGATATAATAATTACATCGTAAGAATATCGTTTGAAAGAGGATATTATGCTACTGAACGAGCCTCATCAGCTTTGCTGCCATCAAATCTAGGGTGACATTGACTTTGACAGGAAGATTTCCACTGCAAAGCCCATAGAGGTGCAACTAATGAACATGAAGAAGGTGAATTGTGAAAATCATATACCGGGTGTCCCAGTATACCTGTTCCAATGGATTATCTCAGTCATTTCGAAAGTAACAAATTTGAAAATTTCATGATCTCCAATTCGTTCAAGGAACCTCCAACTGAGAAAAACGAAAATTGAAAGTCACTTCCGGTTCGACCGGAAGTGACTCTAACTTCTTTATTTCAAATAGCACCCTGTATATTTTTTGCAATTTTTGCTTTCTACTCAAAATTGCCTTTCCAACGATGTATCACACTTTGTATTTTACATTTGATATGATGAAGAAAATGACAAATTGAAATTTGGAATTAAAATCAGTATCATATCCAATTTCTCTTGAATTGTGAAGTTATCATATCATTTTCACGGTTATTCATTCTTGAATGTCGCACACAACCATTCAGAATTATCAACTGTCGAAGATACAAACAAATGTACCTATTCAAATGTTTCCATGGCACACTTAGGTTTTCATTTAAGAATGATTAATTCTTCCAGTTCTACTACATATTTCTATAATAATTTGAAATTTGACGTTCTCTTCATCACCTCGAATGCAGAATTGTTCATGAATCATCAATTATTGAGGAACAAATCATTATGTACACAAAATATCGTAGTCTACTGCAATTCTTTCGATTCCAAATTTCAATTTTCGTTTTCTCTATCATATCAATTGTAAAATGCATAGTGTGATACATCGTTGGAAAGGTAATTTTGAGTAGAAAGCAAAAATTGCAAAAAATATACAGGGTGCTATTTGAAATGAAGAAGTTAGAGTCACTTCCGGTCAAACCGAAAGTGACCTTCAATTTTCGTTTTTCTCAGTTGAAGGTTCCTTGAACGAATTGGAGATCATAACATTTTCAAATTTGTTACTTTCGAAATGATTGAGATAATCCATTGGAACAGGTATACTGGGACACCCGGTATACTTTGGATTTGATATTCAGAATAAATTGAAAAAGTGTTACAAAAAACGAAGGTGCAAAGCTCGCCAATTGGTAAAACACTGAACACCCAGAGCAATGAATTTTTAAAAAATGGCATTAGTTTTTTTTTGTTTTTGAATTGACTCGGCCGTTACTTGAAGGAAATCCAGGGCAAATGTAAAAACTTCACAAACGATAAGATTTCCACAAAAATCTCAAACACACGACATGTTTCGCTAACACAGTAGCTTCGTCAGGTGATATACTAAGTACAATGAACTAATCTAACGTTGGCTTGCTTGACTTTTATATATCCTACTTTCCCAACCTGAAGGATTAGTTACCTGTGGACAGGTTCGATAAACCTTCACTTTCGGAAATTAGGCACAATATCTACATTAAAATACGGTATACCAGATTAACTTGAAAGAGTTTGATAGCAAATACATATTATTACTTACTAAGAAAACAAATTCAACAGTGGGGAACTATTGAGGTCTAATTGATCAATGAGTAAAATGTTACAATTTTTGTACAGTCAACAACGGATACAACGTTAATTTGATAGTATTCTTTCTAAAAAACTTCATCATAAAGCTATTCAAGCAGTTTATCCTACCATCAAGAATAATAATCAAAATTATAGAAATTTAACCTATTTCGGATCATCAACTGAGAAATCAGCTTCATTTTTACATAAACAGGACTTAAAAGTGACATATAGAACAAATAACACGTTGGGACGGTTTATCAAGAATAATGAAGACAAAACTTCTGAATTCAAAAAATCAGGGGTATACAAACTCAACTGTGGATCTTGTCCTAAGGTATATATCGGTCAGACAGGTCGTACGTTTAATCAGCGCATTCATGAACATAAGATGAATTTTATGAAAAAGAAAACAAATTCAACATACGCCAACCATATATTAGAAGAAAACCAAAGTTTTGATGATAATTTCGAAATTCTACACATAGAAAATAAAGGACTGAAACTCAATCATTTTGAATCATTAGAAATCAACAAACTCAAAAATTGTGACATTTTACTTAATGATCAATTAGACCTCAATAGTTCCCCACTGTTGAATTTGTTTTCTTAGTAAGTAATAATATGTATTTGCTATCAACTCTTTCAAGTTAATCCACTATACCGTATTTTAATGAAGATATTGTGCCTAATTTCCGAAAATGTCCACAGGTAACTAATCCTTCAGGTTGGGAAAGTAGGATATATAAAAGTCAAGCAAGCCAACGTTAGTTTAGTTCATTGTACCAGTATATCACCTGACGAAGCTACTGTGTTAGCGAAACATGTCGTGTGTTTGAGAATTTTGTGGAAATCTTATCGTCTGTGAAGTTTTTACAATGGCATTAGCATCGACATTAAGGGTGTTCCTAGTTTTGATCTGCCAAATATCAATTCAAATTGACCATATTTTCAAATGTTGGAAATTAAATCGGTGCCACAGTCAAATTTATTGAATTCCTATCTGTTTTGTTTCTATGAAAAACTGTTGAATTGTTGTTTATTGAAAATAATGAATATAAGAGCAAACACCACTTCTCAGACTGATTACACGGAAAATAAGGATTTGCTGCATCAACAAATTATTTATGCTTGAATAATTTTTGTTGTACTGAGCAATTTTTGTTGAATCAAACAGATACATGATTATTTCATGGAAGCAGCTTGTTCAAATCAAGAATCTAGTCTAATTGAATCAACAGTATAATATCAATTCCATCAACAAAATATATGGTTCTCTCAAAAACAAATTATGTCGACCCAAAATAATGTCGATGTTGATTCAACTATAAACATTTTGTTTATTTGATGAAATAATGATCATTTTGATGAGAATATATCTTTGAAACAACATACAAGTTTTCTTATTTCGATGTAGCAATAAACTCGTTTCGAACGGATCGTTTGCTTGAATAAAACAACGAAATATGTAATATCAATGAAATATTTTGTTCATTCTACATCAAGTTAAATTTTCGACTCTAGATGGCGATCATTTCGCCTCGTCTATGCCTGCCTCAAATTCATTACACACGTGAAGCCTCATTCTTCGTGTTTGAAATATCAGCTGGATAAATCGAACATAGCAATCCGAAATAGTTTTGCATCAGCTGAAGAGAAGTTGAGGCTGGAGATCTATGATGCTAGAAGTCGACTAGCTTCCTAGTTAAGTTTATTCTATTGATGCGAATTTTCAGAAAACTCCCGAATTAATACTGAATTTGGTTCAACAAAACAATTTGTCAAATGGAAATACAAAATATTTCATTGAATTATCGAATTAACCAAATATTTCATGAGGTAACCAAATATTTCATTGAATCAACCAAATAATTCATTGAATCAACTAAATATTTGATTGAATCAATCTTGTTATTTTGAATCAAACAAAGCGATTGTTTGAGCCGATTTAGTATCTATGAACAATTGGATGTGCTTGATTGAATAAAATCCAGAGTTCATGCAAGACATATTTACTTAATTCAAACTTCAAATTCGCTGTGAAACAAGATATTTCTTTGCTACATTCAATTAAATTTTGCTTGATTTAACAATTCCTTTTTTCCGTGTATGGTAATTGACATTGACAATAGAAAAAACTAAGTAAATCATCTCTTTAGGTAGTATAAGAAAAGCAGATTTCCTCGAACTGAATTCTACCAGCACTTCCTACAGGCTTTATAGTGTTTTTCAACCCTCAAGTCAACTACACAGAAAGATAACGGTGTTAGTCACAAAACTCGAAATGATCTATTAAATTAATTACAAAAATGGCGAGGTGAACAAAAAAACTATTGGGAGAAAATGAAAAGTTATTGCAGCAAGACAACTGTTCTAGACTAAATCAAGTTGAGATACTGAAGAAATATATACAGGGTCTGGTAGAATGATCTCCATGTCTTGAAAAAATAAAGAAAATAGGCAACAATGATCAAATTTGAAATTTCTTTTCACTCTATAAAAAACTTTGACATTGAGTTTTACACTCATATCATCTATATATCAAAGAATTTAGCTTTCAGGTATCACGAACGGAAATGAATCAACAGTTGATATACGAGATCTGTCGCTCATTTTTCAAATAAACTTCAAGTAATTTAATTTCCGTAATTTAACGACAACAGCGCCTTGGTGGTGCCAAATCCAAAACAACGAGATAATTCTACCAGGCTCTGCAAGTGATAAGCAAAATTCGAAAATTATGTGAAATAATAAAAAATTGAACATTTAAGTAACGATATAAAAATAAACAGAAAACACATTTGATGTAGCAAAAGCTTGTGTTTCCACTGTAACCAGTGAAATATATATGTTTTTGCAATAACTGTGGACTTTAATAGCAACATAGCTGGCTCAAAGTTGTATTTGAATTGATTATGTATGATGAAATGTGTACATACCTTTGATCCACGTTCATTAAAAATTATTTCTACATCTAAAATTGGGCCGAATTGCTGAAAAAAAAAGAGGAATGATTAAATATACATATATCTGAAAATATCGTACGTTTATGCAAATTGGCGATTCGATAGACACATTGTATATTCTTGATTATTTTGACTCAAAACGAGCGTGTGTCACTTTTTACTTCATCAAGAGAAAGTCCTTGATAAACTGATCTGACAAAGGAGTTCGATTGCGTAAACCACAAAATTCTGCTGAAAAAATTGGAAAGATATGGGTTTAGAGATATAGTCCTACAATGGTTTAATCGTATTTGTCTGGACGAACTCAAAGTGTATCTATCAATAATATTGTGTCGGATAAATTAGAAGTTGAGTGTGGAGTACCTCAAGGGTCAGTGCTGGGCCCAGTTCTCTTTCTGCTCTATATAAATGATTTAGCATCTATTGATATTCGAGGAAAATTCACAGTTTGAAGATGACACGACAATCAAGATGTATCAGAATAGCAACAAATTATTGTTGATGATATAACAAGAGTCAAAGAGTGGTGTGATTCCAATATGCTTTCATTGAATATTTCGAAAACGAAGATCCTCACTTTTCATTGCACCTTGCGAGAAGGATTGTTTCTTGGTAATCAAGTAATAAGAAGTAAGTCTGTAACAAAATTTCTGGGTTCACACATTGACGATAAATTAAAGTTTGAAGAACATATTGACGAATTGAGGAAAAAGTTAGCATCTGGGTGTTTTGCAGTTAGAACAACATCTCGGGAACTTGGTAAAGATATAGCGAAAATGGTATACTTTGCTCTTATCGACTCCCATTTAAGATATGGAAATTGTTTTTGGGGGTCTTGCAGTCAATTTTTATTCGATATGATATCCGTGTTACAAAAGAGAGCAGTAAGGTATTTATGTAAAATTAAATGTAGAGATCGTTGTAAGCCTTCGTATATTGAAAATAGAATATTGACACTGCCATGTATCTTCATTTTGGAAACAGTGTATCTTATTCACAGTAAATACATGAATGAAAATTCTAAAAAAACACAAGACAGGCTGTGGATATATCGGTACCAATACCGTGTGTCTTATTCACAGTAAATACACGAATGAAAATTCTAAAAAAACACAAGACAGGCTGTGGATATATCGGTACCAATACCATCTACTATTCAAATCAAAAACTGCTTTTTCATTTGCCAGACGAGATCAAAATGCTGACTAATTTCAAGAAATTTGAAGATTCTGTAAGGAATATTTTGCTGGAGAGAGCTCGTTAGATGATTTTTATTTGGAAAAAAATTGTAACTTTTAATTGTACCTGTCATTTTGGTGCCTATATTTTTTTATGTACACTTTTTTATCTATTTTATATTAATGTTATGTGTTCCTTATGTTATGAATATCTCTAAATTGTTATTAGTATATTACACCTTAATGTTTTACAATTTTCATTTTTAAGTATGATGAATGTCGATGAGAATTTCTTTTCTTCTGACAATAAAGTATATTTGATTTGAACATTGAATTTGAAGATACGTGAATTTACCTAAACTATTCATTTACAAAAAAATCATATTTCACCGTGATTCTGTTACATACATTTCAATTTTGAAATTCAGTTGACTAATTGATTTAAAGTAAGAGATAAATATCTTTTGAAAAAAGTTGTGCGGACAAGCAATTCCTCTGGGACATTCGGTATATCAAGGATAAATGAGTAGTAGCATTTCACGTTACGACCAGAAAGTTTTCGATAAATAGGTATATCATGAAAAAAAGGAGTACGGACGAGCCACTCCTCTGGGACACCCGGTATATTGACGATAAATAAGAAATCAGTAGTAGCATTTCACTTTACGACCAGAAAGTGTTTATATGTCGAAAATCTGAATAATTTGGCACTCTCATTAAAATGTAGAAGTTTACGGAACGTGTAACTACGTTGTACCCTGATACTTATGTTAATTGCACTACTTATTATACTTTTCAACGTTACTCATCACTTTCGCAATCATTCCTTGAAGACATTATTATCTTGTCTCCCAATTGAAAGAGCGAGATACTAAATTCAAGTTGACTCGGCCGTTACTTGTTGGAAATCCATAGCAAATGTGAAAACTTCACAAAATTGAGAGAGCTCCCACAGAGATTCAATAACTCACTTCTAACGACTTCCAACGAAGTCCCATGACGACCACACTAATTGTCCAATGAGAAATACATATGTCCCTTAACTCCCAAAGAAATTCTAACGACTTTAGATGATGTCTTATGACCCCCACAGAAGTCCCATGGCACACACATACATCCCATAACACCAAAAAACTTCTGTCGAAGGCTTTCTAAGGCTTGCACGGATGACTCCCACAAACATCTCACGATGAGCGCATACACATACATTTCAAAAGGTTTTCCAGGATGTCCCAGACATCAAAATACGAATTTTCATCGACTTTTAAAGCTTCTGAAGGCTTTCAAAGATTTTCTTTGACTCCCACAAAAATCTCATGAGACTCGCACATACCTATTTTCAGCGACTTCCAAAGATGTCGTAAAACTCCCAATGACACCCACATATGTTTTATGACACTCACCGACTTTTAAAACTAATTTTCAAAGACTTTTGAAGAGTTACAAAAATGTTCAGTGACTCCCACAGCTGTCTTATGAGTCTCATAGCAAAATTTCGGGATTTGACATTTAGTTCATAAACAAGCGCTAACACAACATAGAATCTGATCTTCAAGCTTAGCAACATCAGCAGCTTTATGAGTAGAGAGAGATCTTCAGATTTTTTTCAACTACTGTCATTTGTTCAATGAATGAATTCATATATGATAGTTTTCAATCGAAATTGGTGCAAGTCAATGTGTATACAGCCATTCTGATTCAATCATTTCAACCTATTTTTCTGTGGGTAAATCAAGATGAAGAATTAATTGGTTTGAAAATTTAGATTTTTTGAGGTATTCTTAGTCGTTATTTCCTCGGTTATTTTCAAATTGTTTCCCTCCCAAGGACCTATGTAAGTCAATGTGTATAGACGTCTTTTTTCTATCATCTATACCAATTTATCTATGGGAAAATAAAGTTAAAGGATTGATTGGTTTGAAAATTTTCAATAGTTATATTCAAATTGTTTCCTTCTCAAGGTATGTACAGGGTGGAGAACTAAGAACGGCTGTCGACCATACCTCAGTTACGAATAATGATTCAACTTTGAAAAAAATATATCTCATGAAAAGTGACCCTAAATAATAACAGGAAAATAATTTTAGGCCGTAACGGCTATGAGTAAAGAGAAAATTGAAATTTTCTCCGTATTTGGTAGTAACAAGGTGCACTTAAAATATATGCAGTTTGGTCCTTTATAAATTCCTTGTTTTTTTTGTTTCACACTTTTTTCCCATCTCAAAAAATAAAGTGGTATTTTCAGTCGTTATTTCCAAACTGCTTACCTCTCTTTTTCTATCACATCGAAATATTTTTCTGTGGGAAAATCAAGGTGAAGAAGCGATTTGATTGATAATTTGATTTTTTTAGGTATTTTGAATCGTTTTCTTCGAAATTGCTTTCCTTCCAAGATTTGTAAGTCAATTTATAGGTATACAGTCATTCTTTTTCTATCATCTCGAACTATTTATTTATAGAAAAACCAAGGTGAAAATTCGATTGGATTGAAAATGTGATTTTTTGACGTATTTTCGATCATTTTTTCCAAATTGCTCTTGCACGGAAGATTCCAGTTAACCCAAAGAAATCATTTAATTTGCAAACAGTCTCGAAAAATGTTAGTTCACATCGACCGATCACTTACCCCGAACATTGCTCTAAGATCTGGATCCCTAAACCTGAATGGAATGTTTGAGACGTGTAACCTCTTCGGTTGGCTCTTTGAAAGGTCCGCAGCTGCCTGTAACGCCGATTGGCTGGAACCATCCGAGGGTTCCGAGGTGGGGGGTTGAATAGACTGGCCGTTTTCTCCTTCCTGTTATAAAAATACATAAAACTCAGTAAAGGAACAAGGTGATCTCCCACGAGTACGTCCTCAAAACGTACTGAGAACCTCCGGCCAAGATATTTTGTACGTACTGGGGACGTCCAGATTAGGACCGTAGACGTAATGGGGACGTCCAGATTACGCGCATTTGTACATTTCCCGTACGTCCATGCGGGACCATGGATACCTGAATCAACGTAGATCCGCCTTTATTTACTCAGATAGATAAAAAAATAGATCTAGACAGAGTATAAAAAATCTTATTTTGAATTGAAAATGAAAAAAAAAGCGCTACTACCGGGGATAGATCACGAGACCTTTAGATTACCAGGCAGATGCCTATTACTCTACAGAAAACTTATATAGAATAGATTCATTTGATCACGTTAAAAATTTTGAGATATTTGTGACAAGTCATAATGTAGGTAGAACTTTAGTATATTAATATAGAATGAGCAGTAATACAATAATTTACAGATTACAAATTTCAAGGAAACAGATTCGTTACAGTTTGAAAACCAGATTTCAAAAACTTTACTTTAAAATTCAACTCACAGAGACAAGTATTTATATAGACAGTATAATACAATACAATACAAAATGTTGTCACTCCAGCAATTCACTGACAGATATACAGGGTGTTTCATAATTGAATGTCAATATTCGAGTAGGCGATTCTTGGGCCCATTCTAAGAGGAAAGTTTCATATGAACGTATGACCTAGACGTTCTAACTTTTGAGATACAGGGTTGTACAGTTCTCAAAAATTAATATAGCCTACTACAATGGAAAGTTATAATTCCAAAATACCAAATACGAATACAAAGTTCATAAACTATGGACTGTATTCCTGGAATTTGATTAACGATATTGCTATAATCATGTAGTGAAAAGCTTTTTATTTTTTTTAACGAAAACCAACGCGAAAACGTACGCCACTGGTGGCAACACAAAAAATGTGGTACACTAACTGATGCCTCTTGATACATAGTACATGTACGCCCAATATCAATAGAATATCTGCAGTGGTCTTACGAGTATCAATAAAAAATTATCAATTTTTGAGAACTTTACCACCCTGTACCTCGAAAGTTAGGACGTTTAGGTCATACGTTCGTATAAAAAATTCTTCTTAGAATGGGCCCAAGAATCGCCTCCCAAATATTGACATTCAATCATGAAACACCCTGTATATTCTTCAATATTATGGAATTAGATGATCACGGCAGATGTTTTGTGATTAGGTACGGCCACTAAAAAATGAATTGAGAGAATTGTATTATATTCATATTTGCAATCAGAGATCGAGAGTAGAAATTAGATGCAATGACTTCAAATACATATAATAATATAATAATAATAATATAGAACTTTATTCAAGCAACATGAATTTTCCAAACATATAAAAATGTACAAATAAAAAAGCAAAAGTTCGAAAAAAACGATAAGTACAAAATGTACTTGTTTCGTTAAACGAATATAGATAAAATAAAAAAATATACATGGATACATAAAAAGTAGTAGAAAATAATAATACTCATAGAAACGAACATGAATATACAAAATATACATGGATATACATAAATAATTCTAAATCAATTCAAAATTGAGAAATATAAAAAAAATTGAATTATGGATCTATACATGGCGATAGTACGTAGAGACTTATTTTGCGCAATTTGTAGGATTTTTATTTACTCGAATAGTCGTAGCAGCTGATTTCTTTGACATTGAAGTATGTGTTTCGTCAGTTGTTTTTTGAAGCTGTGAATAGTCTCTAGTGATTTGATGATTTCAGGAATGCTATTATATAGCTTTGGAGCAAAGTAAGTATAGGAGCGTTGAGCAACGACCCTAACCATTAGTGGTGTGAAATAATGATCCCTTTGACGAGTATTGTACTGATGAGAAGGAAGCGATGCTGAATGTTTGTTTGCATGATATCTACTGCTGGAGCACAAAAAATACAATTGTCTTATGTCCAACATCTGTGTTTCAGTGTATAGTTCATCAGAAGGATATCTATTATTTTTGGAAAAAATCAGTTTAAGAAAACGTCTTTGCATAACTTCGATGGAATGAATATGAGTATTCAAAGCCCCACACTATTATTCCATATAGTGAATGTCATTGTACGCCACCGGTTTTTCTGAGTTTCATATTTTTATTAGATTGAACTATTGAAATAACAACTTCTTCATCCTCTGTGTGATTTTTTTAACTAGCTTAGTTTTTGAGGAAACAATAAAAATTCGATTTGACACCAACTTTGATGTAGGTGTTTTCAAGACTTCCATTGAAATTACTCAATAACCCCAATTACAATCATTTTGAAATTTTTGGGCTTTCTCAGTCTCCAACCAAACTGAATTTTGGCATCATGAAAGCTCATACAGGGGGGTTAAAAATAAAAACAATTATTACTTCCAACATCAACATCCTGTATCTCATAAATGAAGCAAGTTAGGACACATGTTTATATGAACTTTATTTGCTAGAATATCACAAGGAATCACCCTTTGAATTTTTTCGGCGTTATTTAGATGCACCCTGAATAGACCATACAAAGATCACGTGAGCGTGTGGGAATATTGCCACACTGATACGTTATCACTTTAGCATTGCTACAGTGGTATGAGAATTTCTGAGCAATAACACATTGTGCTATATGCCGCTTTCATATGTCCTCAAGTAAAATTATCCGGAAGTAAAATTCCTCTCCATTCGGATTTCCGGGCGAGAGGTGCTAGAGGGGGTTCACCATCGGCTGAAAAAGTCCTCAAGATAGACCTATGTAACATCCGAGGTCTAAGTAAGAACATCAACGATGTCCATCGACACCTTCAAATTGAAAAGCCAGACATATTGGCTCTTACTGAGACACAGGTCAATTCATCGACCAATACGACCTATCTGCTCTGTCCTGGGTACGAACTCCACACACGTTTCAGATTCAAGGGAGGTCTCTGCCTCTACTCCAAAACGAATCTCTCATGTCAACGAGAAAAAACTTTGGAACCCAATAAGTTTGATGTCATGTGGTTCAAACTCGATAGCCAGAAACAGACCAAATACCTTTGTTGTCTCTACTTATCACCAAATGATCCATCCTATGGGGAGCTCTTCGAATTCTTGTCTCTGAAGCTTGACCAAATTCAACAGAACCATCCAGCAGCAGAAATCATCATCATGGGCGATTTCAATGTACACAACACTGCTTGGCTCGTACACTCTAACAGAACGGATGAAGCTGGGCGACAAGCCGAAGCTTTCGCCATCACTCACGGCTTAGAGCAGCTTATCAAAGAACCCACACGAATTCCCGATGCCAATAACCATTCAGCTAACATACTTGACTTATTCCTCACGAATAATTCAGCACCCTACACCATAGATGTACGAGCTCCACTTGGCAATTCTGACCACACACTCATCTCCACAACCTGCCCATTTTTCATTCCATCAACTGCTCCAGCACCCCCACGTCTTATATGGCATTACAATTCTGGAGATTGGGACGGTCTCCGCATGTTTTTCTCCGAGTTTCCTTGGCATAGAGTATGCTTTGACTCTGAGGACCCTTCACAGTGTGCTGCGGAAATATCCGAGATCATCATGCTCGGAATGGAAACATACATACCTCATTTTTCGAAAAGATCATCACCTTCGAAACCCTGGTTCAACAAAAGCTGTTCTAGAACTGTTGCCTTGAAACAAACAGCCTACCATCGCTGGCGCAAAAACCCTAACCTCGCGACTAGAGCAGAATACGTTGATGCCAGGAATAACTGCAGCCAAACAATAGATGCTTCGAAAGAAACATACAATGCCAAGATCAGATCGAAACTCATAGATTGTCCCAATGGCTCCCGTTCGTTTTGGTCCCTTGCTAAAGCGGTCGGAAGAAATTTCACTAACAGTTCATTTCCACCACTGTCCAAATCCGACGGCACATTAGCAACAACATCGCAGGAGAAAGCGAATATTTTTGCAGAAATTTTCGCAGCAAACTCTACTTTAGATTCCCAAGGAAAAGTGCCGCCAGACATTCCACCCGTTGAGAGTCGAATGCCCGAAATCGTCTTCCGTCAACGCACTATCAGACGAATTTTGCTTGGTCTCAAAACGAATAAAGCTAACGGTCCTGGTGGAATTCCACCCATTATCCTCAAAAAATGTGCACCAGAATTAACACCGATTCTCTGCAAGTTGTTTACCATCTCGTACAGGTCGGGTATTTTTCCATCATGCTGGAAGACAGCTAGAGTCCAACCAATCCCCAAAAAAGGGAACAAGAACCTGCCCAACAACTACAGGCCCATTGCCCTGTTATCAGTAATCTCCAAAGTGATGGAGAAAGCCATCAATATTGAGCTTATCAAATATCTGGAGAGCTCAGGAATCATCAATGATAGACAATACGGCTTTCGCCACCGAAGATCTACTGGAGATCTACTTGCCCACGTCACCCATTTATGGCAATCTTCAATAGAAAAACACGGGGAATCTCTAGCTGTCGCGTTGGACATATCGAAAGCATTCGACCGTGTTTGGCACGAAGGACTCCTCCACAAACTACCATCATACGGCTTACCACCTCAGCTATGCCATCTCTTATCGAGTTTTCTTTCAGGCAGATCGCTTCACGTGGTAGTGGACGGTGTATCGTCTGATACCATTGGCATCAATTCCGGCGTTCCACAAGGATCAATTTTGGCACCAACATTATTCCTGCTTCATATCAATGATCTGTTGGGAGTAACAACTTGCCCCATCCACAGCTTTGCAGATGATAGTACCCTCCATACTGCTTTCTCTTCCAGAATTCCCATTTCTTCCCAGGAAACTAAGACCTCACGGCGCAGGCAGGTCAATGCTGTCAATGAAGATCTTGCTGAAATCACAGCCTGGGGAACAAACAACCTAGTTGAATTCAACGCCACCAAAACTCAAGCCTGCATTTTCTCTAGAAAGGCGGAACTCAGTATGCCCGATATTGTTATGTCTGGCTCCACCATCCCCACCAAGCCCACCATATCTATGCTCGGTATTTCCATCAGCAACACTCTTTCATGGGATAATCATGTCAGATCCATCGCAAAAGCTGCTTCCCAAAAACTCGGATTCTTGTTCCGTGCGAAAAACTACTTTACACCTCAACAGCTTCTCATGATCTACAAAGCGCAGATACGGCCTGTTCTAGAATACTGTTCCCACATATGGGGTTCAGCACCAAAACATACGCTGATGCTCTTAGATTCCATCCAGAGAAGAGCCATTCGCCTGGTGGGTGACGCCACACTCACTCACTCTTTGGCATCATTAGAACACCGTAGAAAGGTCGGCGACCTTTCACTTTTCTATCGATACTTCCACGGGAAATGTTCTTCGGAAATCTCTGCTACCATCCCTTCACTAGCAATACCAATCAGACGAACTAGACAAGCCCAGTCAGCACATCCTTTCGTTGTCAACCTCGAAAGATGTCGAACAGCACTTTATCAAGACTCCTTCATCCATAGAACGGCTAGGCTCTGGAATTCATTGCCTGTGGAAGTGTTCCCAACAACATATAATCTCCAAAAGTTCAAAAAAAATTCCAATACCTACCTCCTGTCCCTATCCTCCCTAGGAACGCACGATGTTCTTTGAACATTATAGGGATACCCTCTCGTGCGCTCCAAGCGATAAAAAAAAAAATATGTGGTCGTAGGAAAAAGATATACTATAAATAAGAGCGCCGTACATTATGCTATTTCACGGCCACTTTAAGGCAATGCAATTTTCTCGCAATTTTCTCAATTTCTTTCAAGTCGCCGTGCATTCAGATATTTCTTTCATATTTTCTCATAGATAAACAAACGAGTTCTGCTAGGTAGAGAGCAGTTCGACAAAAAAATCATCATAATTACCGAAGAAAGCTGCTCGCACTTGAAGGGCTGCGCCGGCGAGCACGTCAACCCGGCCGGCTGTTCGAGGCCGCCCCCGCCCGAGGGCGGCAGCGGCGGCGGCGGGCTGAAGGGAGGCGGGCCCGCCCCGGGCGCCCCGTTCGGCGGCGGCGGCAGCAGCGACGCCGACAGGGCCGCCTTGCCGCCCTCGACGGCGCCCGGCTTGGCGGCGGCGTCGAGGACGCCGTTCTGGCCAGGGGCGGCGACAGCGGGGGGCGGCGGGAAGGGGGAGGGGGCGGCAGCGGGGGCGGCGCCGAACTGCGTCATGCCGCCCGTCATGCCCGCTTGGACCATGTGCTGGAATAGGAAATAATAATAATGATAATAATAATAATAATAATAAATCGACTTTATTTTACGTGACGGAGTTCAGCATAAAATATAGCTATTCCTTCACTCAAATTAGTAAGATCATTGCTTACTCAGGAAACTGATGGTGAATTCATGCACGACTTAACTTAGTCCAAACTTAAGACATAACTTAATATTAGAGAGTTGAAGTAATCACTGTACGTAGACCTCCACGTAGACGTTAACGTACGAAAAATAACGTTTACGTATTGCGAGACGTATTGTCGTTAAATTGAGTTGAAGTCGCCACTTTGGTCGTCACTGTCATCATAACGTAATAATACATTTTGTTTTCGGTTTGTATTGGTCATTTTTGGTTGTGTGTTTAGATTCGAACATTTATTCCTGTCAAAATTAGAGGACTCCTTGATGCAGAACTCGTTGGTGATTCGAATTCGATAATTTTGACTCATCGGCATATTTCGAGTATAGTTTGGTTAACCTACGTTGATATTTAAGGTATACGTGAAGGAACGTGAGATAACGTACACCCGTAAGCCCACTAACAACGCAAACGTGAAGAATTGGAAAATGCGCATGCGTAGCTGTCAATTTCTACGTTTACGTTAACGTTCATGACAACACTTTAACTCTCTATTGCCTCAAAAATTATCCCTAGGTGTTCATACACAAACTAACATAAATATTTTCGCATGTAAGAGCTGTACCAACACTGTAATATGAAGGAGTACTGCTGTATTAAACTGATGAGTTCATGGTCGTCAACCATAATGTTATAAACAAAATAACAATATTTTAAACATTTCGAAAAATTAGTTTAAAGTTTGAGCAGAGTGTTTGAGGTTATGGATTATTAAACCTAACTATTTACAATTATTTCTGTTGTTATCAATGCTTGACCATGCGCAGTACGCGATGAACGTTATCATCGATTATTCGAATTTCAACTTCTTAAAGTTAGGTTCAAGTTAAGACTAAGTTACGTCGTGCATGAATTCACCATAACTGTCTTTAATTTTGTTTTTCTACTCACATAACTAAAATGGCATTTAGCGTACGGATATGTACCACGCTAAATGATCGTTTAATCACGGATTGTCGATCTGTGATTTATTCAAATAAATATTAAACACGTTACCATGGCAACACGATTTCTTAAACACATTACCATGGCAACGCAGTTCATTAAACACAGCTTCAGTAATTTGAGACATGTCTGGCCTGTCAATTGTATTGACTGTCAACTGTTATTTTCGAATTTTCTATCAGAATTATTTAAACAATATTCGTTTGTAACAGAATTCTTCATTAAAAATATATGCGAAAAGTAGACGACAGTGAAATCGAAGAGAATGTTCTGGTAGGTACTTGCATATCTCCAAGAAGTGTAAAAATGAAGCATCCATCTTTGAGAACAATTTATTTATTCTGCGCTAAGCATGACAATAAACGTGAAACAAAGGTTAGTAAGCAATGGACTGGACACATCTACAACTAATATGACTCATTCGTGTCTCGCTGGTTGCATGCAGTTGCATGTATTATGTTCTCAATTCCCATTCCTTTCGAATTATTTTGTAGGTTAGCAGGAATTGCAGGTATGTTAATGTAATTTTCGGAGTTCGTAGAAAAATTATAGTATGTAACGCGTTCATAAACTCTTCTAGACACTCGTTTATTAAACACTCGCTCCGCTCTGCTCCGCTCGTGCTTAAACTATACTCGTTACTAAAAGGACGTTTATAACACTTGTTACATAATATACTATTTTCTACTCACATAACTTGAATGGCATTTAGCGTACGGATATGTACCACGCTTAAAGATAGATTAATCACGGATTGATGATCTGAGAATTTATTTCAAGAAAATCATAGAAATGACATGAAGTCCAAATATTTCCAGAAAACTATAAGAAATATCAAGTAACCCAGGCTTCATTCATTGACAAAAAGCTTGGTTGGCAAGGAATATAGTGCTCAAAGACCAGAAAATTATAATTAAATTCCAATTAAACCCAGACAATTCCAAATAATGTCAAAAAATTCTAAGGAACCCAAAAGAGTCAAGTGATGAATTTCCATAAAATTTCAAGATATCCTGGAGAAATCGGAGGAAATACAGAGAATTTATTTCAAGAAAATCATAGAAATTACATGAAATCCAAATATTTCCAGAAAATTATAAGAAATAAAAAGTAACCCAGGTTTGATTTATTGACAGGAAGCTGATTAGCAAGGAGTATAAGTGAGGAACCTCAAGAAATTCCCAAGATTGACAGAGAATTCTACAAAATTTCAGGAAATTCCACAGAATTACAAGGAATTTCGAGAGTTTAAAAAACCGGAGAAATCTTCAAGGATATCAAATGTTCTCGAGCATTATCAGAAAATTCTTGAAAAAAGCAGAAATCACTCTTCCGTGTTCTCACGCCAAGCTTGAATTGACCGAAGCTGGAACTTATGGAACGCAAGAAATTACAATGGAATTACAAAAATTCGAAGAAGTTACACATAATGGAATTCTCAAATTTCCAAGAAATTCCAAGATTTTCCGAAAAACTATACACGACGTATAATGGTTCATTTTTAGCCTCTAGGAAATCGGAAGAATTTCACAGAATTCCACAAAATTTAGATTCAAGATGCCCTAGAGAATTATAAAAAAATTATATATATATCGAAGATATTCCATACGGAATCATCTACCAAAACCGATACATATCCAATCGACATAAATATTTATATCGAAAGTGTTTTTGCCGGTTATGTTACAGTCACAAATGCATAATGTATTAATATTTCATCGGCTATTCCATTCTGGAGTGTTTTTATGTTTGAAATTGAAATACGATAGCGCAATAAACAGACCGACGATGGCATGTATCATCCATCCATTATTGAAAGCTTTCGCTCGCTCTCCCAGCATAAACAACGATTTTTTCGTTTCGAAATTCTCACTTATAATACCACGAGAGCTTCAATTATTACCGGAAATTTTTTCGAGATCACGTATATTTTTAAAATATTCCCGAGTCGAAGACATAATATGACAAGGCAAGATCATCTTGTCATATGACATGAAACTATCAGAATATACGTGTAATTGAACTGAGTGATCCAATGAGCTCATATCACAAAAAAAAATTATTTCATAATTCGATAGAACTCACCCAAACTAGCTCACCACCGCAAACCGTTTCTTGCTGTGAACTCCCTACGTTTCATAAAAAATATTGAAATCCCAGATTTTTCGGACCTCTGAAAACGAGGCGATGATGTGACGTCACTGACGTCAAAACCCTAACACTGAAACAAGACTATTCCAGACAGAGATGAATGATACATGATTTCTGACAGAGTGAATTAGCGCGATACACAGTGGAAAGAATTACTATATCAGTTGCCTCAGTCTCCGTCAGGCTTTTGGTATGGCGAGATGAGGTTCCTACGTCATAAGAGGGTCCGTTTTCAGAAGGTACTATTATTTATGTCCAGAAATAAAACATTCCAGTTAATTTTTCGATCGAATTATGTCGTCAATCATTATTTATGTATAAAAGGATCATTATAAACATGGTTTGAGTTAAAAGTTCTACTAAGGTGTACACGCCCATTTATATGCGGTGCTGGAACTTTTGACAAATGAAACACTGAAATGCATTTCAGTGACATTCCACTGATATTTCAGTGACATTTAATGATACATTTCAAAATGTTATGAAAATTTGTAGTTCTTATTTTTTTTATCTAAACTGATTTTGTCCAAAAGTTTTTCTGAATACAGGAATTTCCGTCTTATTAATAATAAACCGAATTATTATTTTATGAACGCCCTGTATCTCTAAATTACCCTGAAGGTTAATACAGTGTGTTACAATTCGTTCCATCCCACCACGGTACTATTCCTAGGGCGATTTGATTTGTTTTCCTCATAATATACTACTATAGCTACAGCTTCGCAGATGGATAGTACCATCCATACTGCGTTCTCTTCCAAAATTCCCTTTTCGTCCCAGGAAACTAAGAACTCACGGCGCAGGCAGGTCAATGCTGTCAATGAAGACCTTGCTGAAATCACAGCCTGGGGAACCAACAACCTAGTTGAATTCAACGTCACCAAAACTCAAGCCTGTATTTTCTCTAGAAAGGCGGAACTCAGTATGCCCGACATTGTAATGTCTGGCACCACCATCTCCACCAAGCCCACCATATCTATGCTCGGTATTTCCATCAGCAACACTCTTTCATGGGATAATCATGTCAGATCCATCGCAAAAGCTGCTTCACAAAAACTCGGATTCTTGTTCCGCGCGAAAAGCTACTTTACACCTCAACAGCTTCTCAAGATCTACAAAGCGCAGATACGGCCTGTTCTAGAATACTGTTCCCACATATGGGGTTCAGCACCAAAACATACGCTGATCCTCTTAGATTCCATCCAGAAAAGAGCCATCCGCCTGGTGAGTGACGCCACACTCACTCACTCTTTGACATCATTGGAATCGTAGAAAGGCGACCTTTCACTTCTCTATCGATACTTCCACGGGAAATGTTCTTCGGAAATCTCTGCTATCATCCCTTCACTAGCAATACCAATCAGACGAACTAGACAAGCCCAGTCAGCACATCCTTTCGTTGTCAACCTCGAAAGATGTCGAACAGCACTTTATCAAGACTCCTTCATGCATAGAACGGCTAGGCTCTGGAATTCATTGCCTGAGGAAGTATTCCCAACAACATATAATCTCCAGAAGTTAAAAAAAAATTCCAATACCTGCCTCCTATCCCTATCCTCCCTTGGAACGCACGATGTTCTTTGACCATTATAGGGATTCCCTTTCGTGCGTTCCAAGCGATAAAAAAAAATAAAAAAAATAAAAAATGATCTACTTTGTCGAGCTAAAAAACGTTATCAAACACAATTTATTGGCCGCCTGCGATCACAAAAACTTAAGAAAAATCAAAGAAAACGGATTAGGCATT